ATATATATTATATTATAATATATAATATATTATAATATATTATAATTATATTATTATATTATTATTAATTATATTTATTTATTAATAATTTAAATAATAATAATTGTAATTAATATCAATTTCACACGTAATTCAATACCCAGATAGCCATATAGATCGTGACAATGTGTAAGATATAACAAAAGTATATCGCAATATTCGCATGATATTCAAGATACGTAATATATCGAGTACAGTCTGTTTGATAGAACGTGTACGGCGAAACTTTTTCATGGAAACCGTTAGAGGGGAGATTCAAACGCGAGCAGATAGCGGGAACTTTTTCCCAAAATACTTTGTTTTAGAAAGCCTCAATTGTTGTTCGGCCTTAATTACAGAAAACATATTTCATTATGAGTGCCACATACGCATCACGTTACAAAGCCAAATGTTTCTGTGTTTGCATCCGAAAAAACCGAAAATGTCATATGGCTGCAAAATATATGAAAAAGTCGAAGGCATTTATAAGTAAGTGGGTGAAACCTCGATAACCTACCGGATCGTGGCTCTGCGCAAGTAACGACGAAAAAAGAGGACAGAATGATTACGGATATTTGAAAAAAATCCTGGTCACTGTGTGGCGGGCAAGCCGTTTTGCATGAAAAGAATCTAAATCTGTCATGACATAAGAAGACATTTAATAGTTCATGGAATGAAATTTCGAAGCACACTGAAGAAACCGCCATTGTCCAAAAAACATGTCAAAAAAAGACTCACTTGGATGAAAGAAAATTTGGAGCGCAATTGGGACAATGTAATTTTTACGAAGCTTCTTTTTGGATACGTTCTTCCATCCGTTATACCTGATGTATCACCTGATACCCACGCTAATAGACTTATCCAGCGGATCGTTAAACATCCGATAAAAATGTACGTTTGGGATTGTTTCTCAAAACAGGAATTTGGCACTTTAGATATCTTTACAGAAAATTTGAACGCTGTCAAAATTGTAAAAATATATAGTAGAACATTATTATCATCTGCACAAAGGTTGTTTACAAGGAAAAACAAAAATTGGCTATTGCAAGAGAACAATGATCCAAAACATCGGAGTCATCTTTGTACTGCATGGAAACAAGAAAATGATATTGATGTACTGGATTGGCCGTCGCAGTCGCCAGATGCAATTTCCCATAGAAAATGTTTCGGCACTCAAACTCTGAAGAAAGAAGATCTAGATTATCAAGCAGTTATCTCGACAGATTCGATTTATATGAAGGTTTTTGTCACAAGATTATGCTATAAAATTAGAAGTATGCCTCGGAGATGCCAGGCAATTATTAATAATGGAGGCAACTGAATAACTTATTAATAATAAAGCGCCACGGTCTACATCATGTAGTATGTATATTTTTTAAATTCATTATTTCAAATAGTTTCCAAGTTTCGCTCTTGTCAAACTGTATATACTAATAATTTACTGCCGCCGAATAATGTCCGCGTTACTTTATCCGTAGATTTTCACTGGTAATTTATGGAGATATACTGAATATATCTAGTATGCAATTAGCTTGCCTGAAGTACATCCTCAATATATTCCAGATAGCAAGATGTCGACAAAATTATGATTGCGTTTCGACTGCTATTATATATATTGACTGCTAGTACTGAAAATCTATAATACACGTGATACCCCTTATGGAAAATAAGTGGAAAAAAATTAAAAAATGAAAAAAAATGAGAGAAATTAATGAAACATCTTTTATCTCCTATCACCGCATGTTTCTAAAACCGATCACTATCCACTTGATCCTATTCGATGTCGCTTAACCTCTGTATTGGAATGAAACTTGCTACTGAAATGATAATATAAGTAATTGCGGAATTTTGATATAAAATATGATAGACTCAGTTAATGAATGCTACTTATTGTTGTATAAATAGTCTCAATTTTAAAGTCTCGATTGCATATGCAATTCTTGTAGATAATTTAATTAGATAGAGCCATGAATTTATATTATGTTTAACAAAAATTATTTTTCTTATGAAAATTATTTATAAATTGTTATATGTATTTACTTGTTTATGAATTTGTTAATAATTCTATTAAATATGTATTGTATTAAATATGGGAAATATACTGGTATACTGAGGTATATACTGGTAATATATTTTTCTTATTTATATATTATAGTTAATTAAGAAAGATAATAATTAATAATGTTATTTCATTACTTATTCATTAAAAATAACTTAAAAATGACGATTAAATGACAATATATTTATGACGATAATTTCATGACAAATATTACGTTTATTTTACATCGTTTTTTAGTACACTGACGTCGAATGACGAAAAATGATTTTAAATCATTGTCATAATGACATCATCTTGCTACTTGAGATATCTCCACCAGTATACTCAAGATGTCTTCAGTATATTCGCATTACATCTGGAATATATCTAGGATATTTTGAGTAAATTCAGTATTATTTCAATAATTCAATATACAAGGTATCCTAAAACTCCCACATTTGGAGTACACTACATGATTTTTTATGCTAAAAGAAACAACTTTTTCCTTTAGCAAAATTGCGTGCGACGAGTAGTTTTTACAATGGATCAGATTAAAAGTGACGAATGAGCGCGCGTATAGCGGTCAGAGCTGGCGCGCGTTCTTCAGGGTCGGCGCGGTTTGATACTTAATCCTTGACGACTTCACATACTATATTTTAAAATATGATAAAAGTTAACAGAATAAGTATTGTTTTCATCCTTTAATGATTTAATAAAAAAATTATCTGTATGATGTAATATTATCTCGAAATAAAAATAAATGTAAATAATATGGTGTATGACTGAGCATTCTATTATTTTAATTACTGCACAATTGCATATAAATAACAATAAAAAAATATATTGAATTTAACGAATTATTTAGATACTGTTATAAAACAATCAATTTTTTTACTTTTCGTGATTACGTATTTACGTAATTAATAAGTATTCGTTAAATTCAGTATTTTTTTATTGTCATATGCAATTGCACCAACGACAATAAAAAAATAATTAAAATAATAGAATGCTCAGTTTATACATCATATAATTTACATTTATTTTTATTTCCAGATAATGCTACGAAATCAGAGAATTTTTTTATTAAATCGTTACGTAAAGGATGAATACAAATACTTATTTTGTTAACTTGTATTATATTTTAAACA